CAATATCCCTTCCTACCAGCGTACGCCGCGCTACTTCACCGGCCAAGCATCTCAGCAACCAACGGTCCTTTTCAGGACCTGCAAACTGTTCCAAAGAAGTGGGTTGTTGTTGAAGTAACGACACAACTAAAACCCCACACATCATACAAACACCAACATCTCACAACCTTATGGGCCTTCATGACCTGTTGTAAGGGTAGCTTTATTTTCTTGTTTTTACTTACTAATTTCTTACAGATCAGATCTTTTGCATTCGTCAGATATTGGAGAAAAATGGGAGTATAATGAGACAGTACATCAGCTATTCATAGACTTCAAGAAAGCCTATGATTCAGTTAGGAGGGAAGTACTGTACAATATTCTCATAGAGTTTGGGATACCCATGAAACTAGTCAGGTTGATTAAAATGTGTTTAAACGAAACGTATAATAAAGTCTGTGTAGGCAAATATTTGTCTGATAAATTTCCTATCCAGAATGGTCTAAAAGAAGGAGGTGCTTTATTGCCACTCCTTTTCAACTTTGCTTTAGAATATGTCATTAGGAAGGCCCAGGGAAACTGAAATTAAATGGGACACATCAGCTGTTGGCCTATGCCAATGATCTGAATCTACTGGGTGATAATGTGGATACCAAAAAGAAAAACACAAACTTTAATTTACGCAAGTAAAGAGGTTGGTCTAGAAGTAAACACAGAGAAAACTAAGTACAGTAGAACTTGGTTATAACGTCATCAAAGGGACCTAAAAATAGTGTCGTTATAAACGAATGTCGTTGTAACCGAAATGGGCACTTCCACAGTAGCCTTATGTTAGTCACGTAAAAATCTACCAAAAACCGAGTTAAAATGTTGCATTTTTTTAGTGAAATACGTAGTTAAGTACAGACTAACGTAACATTAACGTGGAATTGCCCAAATGTGTAATATCAAAGACATATTACAGCGCTTTTCACTGACAATACACACCGCACTAATACTGTATATTAAAGGTAGGCCTACTCACCAAATTACAGTAGATTACATCAATTGTTGTGCCTTACTGTACCTAGATACGAGTACAGTAATCAGTTATCTTCATCTGTTTCCTGTTACTTGCCCAATACACACTTTCTAAATTACGTTCAATGTCCATAATTTTTGTCACAATTTCACTGCTGCCTCCCCTGGATTCATAAAACAAGTTCACAACCCTAATGGCTTCAAGCGCGTCACTCACAGTAGGGATGGAGACTTCGGAACATTCTTCTCCTCCCTCCTCATCTTCCTCCTCTGTATCCTTCTTCACTTCCGATACAATATCGTCGTCTGTTTGTGCCTCCGTTGTAACAATGTCGTCGTCTATTGTTGCATATGCCTCATAGTCATACTGACCTAGTTCATCACAATTGACTTTACGCAACCATTCTGTTAAAGGTAAATCATCGTCATTATTGGTGTCGTCCTCATTCTCAGTGCCATTCAATCCCTGAGTTGATAAGATTCCCGCATGTCGGAAGCAGTTCTGAATTCTTTTTTCAATTAATCGTATTGCGTCCAGCAGTGTAACTGTGTAATCTTGCTTCTTCTCGATGCTCTCTACAATTCTTAACAATATCAGTTTGCGGTAGTGACATTTCAGGTTCCTTATGACTCCCTGATCCATGGGTTGCAATACGCTTGTAGTGTTTGCAGGTATAAACACAAGTTTAATCTTCTCTAGATTTTGAAGTACAGGGTGCGCTGGACNCTGTTCGCATAAAACCCATGCTCCTCTTGCAGGCCGCGGTCGTATTCTTCCAGGAGAGTCACGTCAGCAAGTAGAGAAAGTGAGGGTGGGCAGACACATCGAACTTTCCCACGATATCAAAGAAATTCAGGAATGAAAATGACGTTACATACGAGGTTGATGCATTTGTGCATGTCGTACTAAGCAAGGTATAAAAACAGTTGCTTTATGAGGAACTAGTTCGTACCATTGAATATTTGACGCAATAGACAAGGTGTCGCAGAAACCGATATTGCTATAACCAAGTTTTACTGTATATGCTGCTGTCTCATCACAAAATCATGACATAAAGATAGGAACAGATGTTTTGAAAATGTTGCACGATTCAGATATTCTGGAACAACGATAGCAGACTGAAACCTGATTCGGGAGGAAACTAAGAGGATACTGAACTCGGGTAATGCTTGCTACCATTCAGTCCAGAACCTTTTGTCTCATCGTCTGCTGTCCAAAAACATAAAAATGAGAATATACAAAACTACCTGCAGTTCTGTATGGGTGTGAAACTTGGTCTCTGACATTAAGGGAGGAACATAGACTGAGGGTGTTTGAGAACAGGGTGTTGAGGAGAATATTTGGACCGAAGAGAGATGAAGCGTCAGGAGGTTGGAAAAAACAGCACAATGAGAAGCTTCATAACCTGTACTCTTCTTCAAGTATAATTAGAATGATCAAGTCAAGGAGGATGAGGTGGGCAGGGCATGTAGCATGAATGGGGGAGACAAGGAATGTGCATAAGATATTGGTGGGAAAGTCAGAAGGAAATAGACCACCGGGAAGACCAAGGTATAGGTGGGTAGACAATATTAAAATGGATCTTAGAGAGATAGGATGGGATGTTATGGATTGTATTGATCTGGCTCAGGATAGGGACCAGTGGAGGGCTCTTGTGAACATGGTAATGAACCTACGGGTTCCATAAAATGCTGGGAAATTCTTGAGTAACTGCAGACTTGACAACTCCTCCAGAAGGGGTCAGCTGCATGAGTAAGTAAGTAACTATTTTCTTACATTGCAAAAGAAAATTAAAAAAAGAAGTGAAAAAGTAAGATTTACTTATAATTTCAGAGGCTGTACTATCAAGAATATTAGACAAAAGAAAACAGGCCAAATTGCAGTGGTTACAGGATCCAAATGAAATAAATGGGGATAATCTAAACAATATAAGATGTGAAACCAGCAGGTATTTCAGGAATAAAAAGAGGGAATATCTAAAAGACAAAATTGATGAGCTTGCAACGAACAGTAAGAACAAGAACATTAGAGACCTGTATAGGGGAATAAATGACTTTAATAGGGGTTACAAACCTAGAAATAACTTAGTGAAGGATGAGAATGGTGATCTGCTTGTATAAATCACCAGGTAGTGATCAAATTCCAGCAGAACTCATCCAAGCAGAAGGAGAAATATTACGTTCTAAGATCCATAAGCTAATTAATTCTATTTTAATAAGGGATAATTGTCTGCTCAGTGGGAGGAGTCTATTATTGTACTAGTTCACAAGAAGAGTGATAAAACTGACTGTAGTAATTATCAGGGGATATCAGTGCTACCAACTTCATACAAAATTTTATCCAATATTCTTCTCTCAAGGTTAAGTCCATACATAGATGAAACTACTGGGGATCTTCAGTGTGGATTTTGACATAAAAGATATTTTGCATTTGTCAGATACTGGAGAAAAAAACGGCGTACAATGAGAAGCTATATCAGCTATTTGTAGATTTCAAGAAGGCCTATGATTCAGTTAGGAGGGAAGTATTGTACAATATTCTCATAGAGTTTGGGATACCCATGAAACTAGTTAGGTTGATTAAAATGTGTTTAAACAAAACGTATAGTAAAGTACATATATATATATACATTTGTCTTATAATTTTCCTATCCAGAATGGTCTAAAACAAGGAAATGTTTTATTGCCACTCCTTTTTTCAACTTTGCTACAGAATATGGCACTAGGAAGGTCCAGAAAAACCAGGTGGGACTGAAATTAAGTGGGACACATCAGGTGTTAGTCTGTGCTGATGATATGAATCTACTGGGTCATAATATAGATACCACAAAAGAAAAAAAACAGAATTTAAATGAGACCAGTAAGGAGGTTGGTCTAGAAGTAAACACGGAGAAAACTAAGTAGAGGTTCCTGTCTGATAACCAAAATGCATGGCAAAATCATGACATAACGATAGGTAACAGAAGTTTTGAAAATGTGCCACAGTTCAGATATTTGGGAATGACTATAACAAATCAAAACCTGATCCAGGAGAAAATTAAGAGGAGACTGAACTTGGGTAATGCTTGCTACCATTCAGTCCAGAACCTTTTGTTTTCTCGCCTGATGTCTAAAAACATAAAAATTAGAATATACAAAACTATAATTTTGCCTGTAGTTCTGTATGGGTGTGAAACGTGGTCTCTGACATTAAGGGAGGAACACAGACTGAGGGTGTCTGAGGAGAATATTTGGACCAGAGAGAGATAATGTGACAAGAGGTTGGAGAAAACTGCATAATGAGGCGCTTCATAACTTGTACTCTTCTCCAAATATAATTAGAATGATCAAGTCAAGGAGGATGAGATGTCCATGGCATGTAGAATGAATGGGGAGAAGAGGAATGCATATAGGATAATGGTGGGAAAGCTAGAAGGAAAGAGGACACTGGATGGTATAGGTAGGTGGACAATATTAAACTGGATCTTAAGAGAGGTAGGATGGGATGGTATGGATGGGATTGACCTGGCTCAGGATAGGGACCAGTGGAGAGCTTTTGTGAACACGGTAATGAACCTTCAAGTTCCATAAAATGGTGGGACCAGTGGAGAGCTTTTGTGAACACGGTAATGAACCTTCGAGTTCCATAAAATGGTGGGAAGTTCTTGAGTAGCTGCACAATTGGCGGGTTCTCAAGAAGGTGTCAGCTCCATAAGTGAGAGACTACCAAGTTGATCACATTACATATAGCATGCCTCAATGTCATATCATTTTGGTGAAGAATATGTCTTAAAATAACATGAAACATATATGGACAGAGGTCACTAAATATGGTTTATGATTTTCATGGCAGTGTGAATTCAAAGTCATATACATATCACTTTTGTAATATTCATGCATCAAGTGTGAACTTGGATTACCCTGTTGGATTCTGATTAGATTTGTGGACACAGATATACTGTACTGGACTATATGGACACCATCTAGATGCCTGTTTTGAAGAGAAAACATCCTTCAAATCATTATAGACAAATTCACATTCCATGATAAATACTATATTTCACATATTCACATTAAAATATTATAAACTCATAGAAATGATACATTAAAACAAACGACTGTGTCACTCATTTGTGACCTACTATATACAGTTCTTCTACACAACCAAGATAAACACTGGAAAACCTGTTGGTACGGTAACCAGAAATAGCATAATTTTGATGCTGAAGTCTCATTGCAAACCTTTAATTTTCCCAGATATCAGAGTACATTAGCTTCCAAATTAGTGGCAACACACCTTGACAGATGCTTCTGCTCACCCACAATTTGAATTACCTGACACACTCTGGAAGTGTATAGACATCACATGGAATCACAGGCCTTCACGTCTATACTTCTACTCATCCCTCTTGTGTGAGATTTGAGGGTCTCATGGCTGTGACTAGGAAGAGTACTGTTTTCTGGGACATAACACCCTTCAGTCTGACAGAAGTTTATTGATGATATGGCCCCCATATTAAGGGTAGAAGGGCAAGCTAAGCAGGCAAGCAGTGAGCACAGTAATGCTTGGAAAACTTACTTTCCTGTCCTGAAGATGGAGGCAGTATGTTCCTCCAAAACATTGATAAACATATGCCAGATCGCACAGTATCACCTCCAAGAAGTCATTACATATGAGGGCATATGCTATTTTTTTCTTACCAAATTCTCGTTTGATCAATATTGTATTCAACGTTTTTATTCAAGTAGTATATGGCATATGTAACTGAGGTAATTACTTTACTGTGGGGCACAAAGAGTCAGAATCAACAAAGGACAACCGGCAAACTTACCTTAAATCACAATATGTAATAAAACAAACAAAAATTATAAATTATATATTATTAAATATTTTGTAAACTTTCAGAACATCACAAAGAGTTAACAACATTTAAATGAACATGACAAATGATGAAAATATTATGTAGCAGAAATGTAATCAGCAAAGACCTGCCTTATGAATACAGTCTTTAAAAAATAACTTAAGTATAAAATATACAAAAATAGCCTGACACTACACTTCAGATGTAACTACTTGATAAGCAGAAAGCCATGGACATTAACGATGAACTTGTCAAAGCTGTCACGGAATTTAATCCTGTTCTGTCGCTCAATATTGAGTGTGATGTTTGATGTAAGCTCAGTGAAGGCTTTGGCAAGTCTCTCAGCCACTAACTGATCCTGATGAGAGTCGAGTAGTCCCTGAACTAAATGCTGGTAATCATCCTGAAACAGATACAGAATACAAATTTACTGGCAGGGCATACAAACTGGAATCATACGATAACTGTGATAAAGACTTACCAAAAAGCCAAATGGGTAAGGTTGGACATATCCTTAACTCTGGCTCTGAATGGACAGCTCAGAGTCAGTCCCTACCATGTTATCCTCAACAGAAAGTGCATCAGGTACTCACTGGATAGCAGACTGAGTTAGTGGCAGTGAAGAGAAAAATTCATGTATATCCTGGGCATCAAACTCCATCATCTAGATCAGTGTTCTGCAACCGGTGTGTCATCACAAGGTGAAAGGTGTGACACGAACTTTTACCTATTGTAAGAAATTAATTGTCGATTTTTATTCGTTTTATTTTATCCCAGTTACTGTGTTTCATATGCTTGTATTTTATTCTCAGCCACTGCACTGATTAAATGAGATGATGCTTGTTTATTCTTTATTACATGCTGTGATTTTTTACGTACAGTAACGTTGTATTCTAAGAAATTAAACGTAAATTATTTACTCACAGTTGTTGTTATATCATAGTTTTTATTATTCATTTATTTTTATTTTTCTCGCATCTACACAGCTTCTTTGATATGCTTGCTGCATGTTCTGCTTTTCCCTAAAACTGCAGGGATTAACATGGCTTTTCCTGTCTTTTATAACGCTGTTTTGGTATTTGCCCGTTTGTTAGAAATTAGAGCTTCTTCAACTTTATGATTTTCTTCCTGTAACGATGCACCCACCGATTGTTGGACTTCATTTAAAATTATAAATATTTCAAAAATAAGTCGGTATAGTGTCACTTCTTCCATTTGAAGAGTAGAGATCTCGCATTTTACAATTGTTTCAGTTCTATCACAGCTGTGCTCTGAAGGAGTTCATAAATTTTGGTTGCTAGTTAGAGAATTACAGATGGTTCATTTGAGATGTCCCCGACTGTATGGCCACTTGCTGACGGCAATAAAGTGGTGATGGACACAATTAAAGAACATTTAGAAATGCTGCAGCAGAAATTCAATAAGTATTTTGGAGAGAGTGTACAAGATTTCAACTGGGTTCG